CCTTCCAGCCCATATGATTCTATGATTCTCTGATTCTATGGTCCTTGGAGGCAGGTTGGAATAAGGACCAGCCCAAGGAGATAAACCTAACAGATACGCAGCGGACATCACAGGGAGCCAGCCAAGAGTTTGACAGAGACCTATTGCTTCTCTAAACGGTTTTCAAGCTGAGCTTCAGGAAGGGTGGCTGAACTAGCAAATTTAAAACAGCTATGGTGGGTAGATGTGTAACAGATAGAGTATCTGTCAAGGATGAATGAATAAGTGCTGGAGGGAAAATTAGTCATTCTTTAGCTTTATCTATAATGAGGCAAATTGATTTTGTGTGTGGAACAGCTCAAGTTTATCCTGGAAAGTCCTAGTGGCAACAATTTAAAGTGTCACCCCTAATCAGAGAAAATAGTAAATTTAAATATGGAAATTATACTTGGTGTTGAATGATTGTAGCTTAAATCAAATGACTATAAATGAAGGCTTATCTTCTATCTTCTGTAGCCATGTGCAAATTACTTAATGTCCATATGAGACAAGTCACTGCCAACCTTCAAGATACTAACTGAAGCTGCTCCCTGTTTCCTGTAGGGGAGCAACAGACACATTTCAGTTTTCTTCCAAGAACGTTGGGGATATTGCAGCCATCTGTGTTGGTCATTGCCCAAAAGATGGGAAGAAGTCATCTGCAAAAGCTGATGTCTTCTGGCACGTTCAAGAGATTATCGTAATGGAGATGGAGCTTTGCAACAAGTAAGTGCCTTCTTATCAGCAAGGAGCTGCTTCCATGGGGAAGCTGAGCAGCTCTACATGTGTCCTCCTGAAACATTTGAGCCTTAAGCAACAGCAGGAAGCCTTACCAAATCTTAATCCCTTTCTGAAAGCTAAGGACAAGTTGTTTGGTGTGTTGGGTGCAGAACATCCCTGCCTGACTTCCCTGTGCAGTTTCTGAGTTGTTGGAGAGGGTGTTTGCATATACAGGGAAGTTTATAAACAAGTTGGCTTAGGTGAATCTCTCAGCTACGACAAATTAATGTCTCGGCTTGTGGAAAATATTTAAACTGACTGAAATTTAAGGGGTTTGTAGGAAACTCTGTACAGACTGGCCTTTAGGTAAGTCTTGTAAAAAGAGCTCCTAGAAAAAAGTTGTAAGACAAAACCTGAACCTCCAATTCACACCAGTTTGGATGAGAGATTCTTCTGGTATGGTCCAAAAGACCCACTGGAAAGGTTGCAGTCATCCCGTTCAGTTACTCTGATTTGAATATGACTGAAATCTTCCATGGCCAAAAAATGAATGTGTCTGAAGAGCCGTGAGCACATCAGGTCCTGCACGCTTTGGTCTGAGCTCCATCTTTGGAAGGGTTGACATTCACAACTCAGGGAGCAGATAGCACAGGGACTATGCGGGAGCTGGAGAAGATTGTCCATTTGCAGAACAAACTGCTTTTCAGAGAAAATATCCACAATGTTAATCGTGGATTTCTTTTCTTCACCATGATATGTTCGTTGCTGCTAAAGAATTTAACTATAAGGAGTTTGTTACAATCGAGACGATTGAGTGTTTAAGAAGAAATCCTTGAATTTTTTTTTTTAGAAGCTAAGAGTCTCTCCCAGCAAATTAATCAGCCAGTAGAAGAGCCATAATAATATTTGCTGAATGAAAACTCAGTCAATTACATACTAAAACTCCTGATGAGGGAAAACCTGGAACCCTTAAAGTCCAGCTGTGCAATCAAATCCGTGCACCAAACTCACTGGGACCACCCTGAAATAGCTGAAACAGTATGTTTTGAAGGGGCCAAAGATCTTTTTGTAAAGCCCCAGGTTTTTTTAAAGTTGTTTTAAACTAAAGAGAGCAGCCAGGACACACCGACAAAGCCTGCAGCCTGTCATTGCACTGAAGCAGGGCTCCAGCTGTGCAGACACAGCTCTTCACAGCAGTGTTTGCTCTACAAACGATCAACTGGAGCAGATTGCACCGTCAGAGCAAGTTCTTGCTTCAGGTATTCCGGATCCTAAACATCCCAAAAAAATTCACCCAGACAAGCCAAAGACCAAATTTAAAGTTGTGAGATTGCCGCAGCAATAGTTTTGAATTATACTGAGATTTTTGCCTTTTAGTAGTGGATCTTAGTATGGGAGAGGGCTGTATTTAGAATCTTTTTCTTGCAAATCCCATGGCCAGAAAGGTCACTTTTTTTCTTCTTACCCCTCATAAAGACTAACGTGTTCTGCTGTAACTCCAGACCATGAGACATGACATAGCCCAGGAAATAAAACTGCAGCATCAGGCAACCCCTCCACCCCATTCTCATGCAGTTTTTCTGTCCCTGAGCCTGAAATTTTCCTCCCACTAGAATTTCTCATTTACAAAGCTACTTTCCAGAGAAAGGAGTGCTTTATTTTGACTGCAGAAAATATCAAAACTGTTGGAAGTGCTTAAGAAGCACAGCACTGCTGGAATCGCAGTAACCCTTTCCTCCAGGTGTTTATTTCACACACATGCACTGCAATCCAGCTGCTTTCCCTCCAGCGAGACCTGCTGCAGTTCGGTGAAGGCAGGGGGAGGCGGAAAAACTCATTTGGAAATGATCTGCATCATTGGAAATGAAATACATCACTAAAAGCAGAGTGCTCCAGCCTCTGGCCGGGTGCCAGGTAGGCGGTAATTTATGGATGTGCTGTGTGCTCCCTGCACATCACCAGCACCAGCACTGCAGAGCCAAGGGCTTTCAGCATCTGGTACCTATCATTTCTGTGCTCAATGCTTTTTTTTTTTGTTTTTTTTTTGCCTGCTAAGGATGGGCTGGGTGATCTAGATGAGGAAAGCAGGGGGATTTAAACCTCCTCCTCCCATCTTTCCTGTTTCTTTTTTTCCTAGTTCCTAGCCCAACCTTAACCATACCATCAGTGAGGATAATTGCTGATGTCCCTGCTCTCAGACCAGTTACATTGAGCAGAACTGGGCTGCATTGACTGTGGGGTTGATTACTCGTCCTGCCTCGGTGGGTCTATAAGTGGACGTGCCATCGCATCGGCAAAAGAGGTGACAAGTGTCCCACACCAATCCTGCCATGTGTGGGGCGTCTGTGGCTGTCTAGGGAGATGTTGGGTTTTCCTGCTGCCGTCGCAACATTCAGTCACAGAGAAACTCTAGTGCTAGCACATATATGGAAAAGTACTGAAACAGCATTAATATGGGGCAATTTAGTATCATGCCCAGTCCATAACATTTGCTCAATAAAGTGGTCATCCATACTATTGACATGCTGCTAATTTTCCTTCGGCAGATACTTTTTCAAGTGCAATGCAAAAATCCCTCTGCATTACAAGAGACGGGACTACAAAGTCTTTGAGTGTGCCAAGGTCACCGAGAGCTTTGCTAGCAAAGCCCGGAGCTTGGTGCCAGTCAAATACGAGACCATCGTCGTCACAGGCTTCGAAAAGGGCGCGGGGACCGACGCCAATGTGTTCATCACCATCTTCGGGTTGAATGGGGACTCAGGAAAGCGGGCGCTGAAGCAGAAATTCAGGAACCTCTTTGAGCGGGGTAAAACCAACAGGTTTTACCTGGAAACGCTGGACATGGGAGAGCTAAAAAAAGTCCGGATTGAGCATGACAATAGCGGTCTGGCACCGGGCTGGCTGGTGGAGAGGGTGGAGATCACCAACTCGGCGACCGGCGTGACCACCATATTTCCCTGTGGGAAGTGGCTGGATGAAAACCGGGGCGATGGGTTAATCTGGAGGGAGCTTTTTCCTAGGTACTGAGGAGGGCAGGGTTGCAGGAGGGTTTCGATCCTTTCTCCATGCGTGTTTTTCTCATTATATTGTTTTATATTGCATTTTACTTTTAAAACACTGCCTTTTGTATTGAGAGATTTTTAGTAGCAAGATGTGCTTCCTGTGTTAACATTTTGTAAAAGTAATGCTGCTTTTTTTAGAGCGCATATAAAATTGTGAATGAAATAAATACATTTCTTGCTTATTTATGATTAAAAGCCACAACTAGCAGAGCCATAAACTATCCTTTAACAGCTCAGATGCCGCCTTCTTCATTCAGTGCTTCGCCCTGCCAGAGCTGGGAAAGTCCATTGGCCTCTACCACTGATGGGCTCCCCTTTCAGATGAGTAAAGAGGATAAGGGAATTGAAGCAATGTATTTAAGAAAATTGAGCTTGGAGATCCCAGTTTTTCCCACTTCTGGCAACTGTGAGTGCTGGAAGTCTGTACACGCACGTGCACACCCCCAGAAGGCACCGCATCAAAAGAAGGGGCCACAGCAGGGCTTTCTGCAGGGAGGTTGGGAAGGACCTGTTATCCACCCACCCAGGTCTCGAGGGGTGGGATCTGGGTGGTGTTTTCCACCCATGGGCTTTCCCTCCCAAGTCAGACCCAGCTCTTTGGGGTGAATTCATCCAGATCTGCCTGGAGCTGAGATCTGCAGTTACAGCAACTGGAGCAAAATACCTACCAGATAATCGATTCCTCTGCAAGGAAGCTGTGCTAACCATATTCAAAGCCATCTCAGAATAATCTTACCCTATATGGCCTGAATACCAACTCTGTTTCAGAGCAGCTGCCTTCATTTTAAACTTTTTCTTTTAACAAAGATTGCTGTTTTGATTTTTTTCTGTGATGGAGCAGGGATTTCCTGGCCGCAATAAGGAGATGTGTTCCTGTAGGTGAACCCTTCCCAGCTACTCACATCTCTACGGGTACTAACAAGAAATGTTGTTTGCAAATCTTTACTTCTGGAGCCCCATCTCTGTCCCCAGGGAGCAAAGCAGCAGGGCACATCCTTCAGAGGAGAAAGGAGGGTGTCTGAGCCATCACAAGAAGAAGACCTTCCTCCTGATCCAGCAGTGTCCTAGGAAAGGTCATTTCCCTCTCCCAGAAGCTGGTTTTAAACAAGCACTTTGTGCAAACAGGGATCAAATGGGTCAAAAAAAAAAAAAGGTTGGACTCGATGATCGCAGCGGTCTCTTCCAACCAAATCAATTCTGTGATTCTGTGAAAAGTGGGTTAAACCCGCTGAGCCCACCCACCCCATCAGTCCCTGGGTTGGGGACGATGTTTTCTTCTGCTGGGACATGACCTGGCTGTGCCTGGCCACAAGGTAGGACTGTCCCACGGCTGAATCCCTGCCTGATCATGGGCAAAGGAGACCCCAGCAAAGGCTCATGGTGTTCAGACAGGAGTTAGGAATGTATTGCAAGTGCTGTTGATTGCTCCTGGATATTTGAAAGCTGCTGCAGCCCACCAAAGCCCCGCCAGGGATGTACTGCATCTTTATTTTCCGCAGCAGGCACCACCGAAGAGACTTGAGCTTATTCAGGACTGTCTGTGCCAGCTCGCAAATAATAGCTCAGACTAATTCGTTTTAGAAACTTTTATGGTAACTGATGGTTTTGGAGCAGAGCAAGTTGCTTAAATGAGCTCAGTAATCAACCTCATCAATGATCAACTACTCACTGATGGGAATAATAATAGCGGCCTTTACTGGCTGGATTCTCCCTCACCGCTGCAAACTGGTGCTACCAAGCTCTGAGCAGCGACTGAGTTGGGGACTGAGAGCCCACAGGAGGAGCAGAACAGACCTCAGGAGGGGTGAAGGTGGGTGCTGGGATCAGCAGGCATGTTACATCCCTGGGACCCTGCTGGGATGGGGCTCAGGCTGGCTGCCCGGACAGCGAAGGGGTCCCACAAGCAGAGTCTGGAGCATTTACTTTTGCTGCACTTACGCAGTATCGTTGCCAAGCAGCAGTTCCCCAGTGGGTATTTTGAAACAAAAAAAAAAGGCTCAGGCTTTTGAACTCTCTGCTTTCCCTCTGACTCCAGTCTACCAAGGCTATGAAAAAACCCTCCCTGACAATAGATTTGTCCCGTTTTTAGACAAATATGCGCTGCAGTGAAATAGGAGTTTTTCCCATTAAAATGCTGTAGTCCCAGCGTTTCCAGTTGGTTCCAGTCAGCACCCAGTTGGTGCAGAGATGTCAGAGATGCTGGTTTTACAGCATCACTGCGTTGCAGCAGTTTAACCCCTGAGTATATTCAGTGTGACACACGTGGGACCTGTACTGCTCCATCCTTCCAGTCCCTGGGAGCAGTAAGGCAGCTCCTGATCCACACACCATCCCCACATGGGGCAAGGAAGAAAGAGGAATCCTTCTCTTGCGTATGAGATGTGCTCACATCTGAGAGTAAGCACATGTAACAACTAGCCACAGCCACGGGTTGAGGTCCTGTTTTTCTTCGGGGTCACCAAATCTTTGTGTAGGTGAGAGATGGGATTGTAGATACCTGGGTTGCCATCAAAACCATCTGCCATCCCTGGATGGGCATGTTCGACACAAAAGCTATGCTGACCTCCAGGCAATGCTGCTCTAAAATGAGCTGAGGGGGAGTTTGCTGATACGGGGTCAGCAACCTCACTGCCTCCCAGGAAGGCAACATTGGCAAAGCATGAAAAAAAATCTGCTTTTTTCTTCTAAAGACTTGAACAATGCCCCTTGTTTGTGCAAAACTCAACTCCACCCTTGCTCTGGGGAGTCGTTTTGTTGCTACAACAACTAATGCTACAAAAGTAGTAAGGCAAGAGTGGAGTTTTTCCAAGGGCTGGATTTGCATTAAGCTGCTAAAACCAACATCTTCTTGGCCAAGCAGAGAACTGGGGAGGAGAAAATTGTCCTAGCGCTGTGCCTTTTGCTGGGGCAGAGCAACCCAAGGCCGTATGTCGGGCAGATGCACAGCTCCTGCTCCCCCCTGCCACCCTCTAACTTTTGGGGTTTTTTTCTCTTTATTTCTTACTTGATGGGGTTTTAATGCACATGCCTTCATCCAAAAAACATTAATCAATCAGATAAGAAGGAAGAGCAAAGGACAAGGATGGTGACGCTCAATGGGAGTCTGCAAAACCAGGCTATCCCATTGTCTCTGTGGTACCCATCATTATGAGAGCCCGATAAAGTGCTGTGTTTACAAAAGCTGCCAGTGAAAACAGATATAACCAAGGAGTCCTTTGCATTATTGGATGCTAAGAGGGACTGGTTGTCTTTTGCTGCAGGACACAGAGAATTATTTGAAAATCTCTAAGAAATTGTTGTGAAACATTTTTGATGGCATCATATACCTACACCAACCTTACATGCATGAAGGCAGAATAACTGAGGGCTGCAAAGTATCGATCTTATAATCTCCCCTGCCACATCCTTATGTGTAGAGGTCCATTTTGACATAGAAAAAAGCTCCATTTAAAAAAACAACCCCCCCAAAAAAATTATATTTACTCATGAGATTGTACAGCTCTGACCTGCAACCTGGGGGCCAACCGAGCATATAGAAACTACAAAACACAAATCAAGGCTAAGCTTCCCGACACCGGGCAGCTGCTGCGAGAGCAGATGCTCTCAGTGAATAAAGACATTGCATCTTGGCCTGTGTTGTTATACCTTAATGGGCACAACCCCTCTCCTCCCCAGCATAGTCGCCGCGCTTGGCAGGGTTCTTATCAGATCGCAGCGGTGTGTTTACTGCAGCAGTTTTGAATCAAAACCGATTGCTATCATCTCAAGCAACTCTCTCAGCACCGTTACCCTTTCAAAGGACATCGGCGAGATCTCAGTGAGCAACTGAGATTTCCCCCAGCTGGACCAGCAAGTCATTTTTAACCTGTTTTTCTGAATTTGTAAAAGCTTCCTATAACGGGAGCTTCATATTGCCTGAATATGGTGCATCCCTTATACAACCTTTGTTGGATGCTGGAGGAGGCGGCGATCGCCTTCGGCTACGGGAACCAAATCTCTGTGATCAGCAGCCACCTGTCTCCAAGGCTTATTTAGTCTAATCACATAGTCAAAGCTGGGGACTGGTCTCAGCCTTTCTACATGAAATGCATGAGCAGAAACAGCTGAATCAAGAGCGCGTAGGAGCGGAGACTGGCACCATTCATTGTGGGGAAAAATAAAAGTGCAAGGGGACCTATGAAATTAGCTGTGCAGGATGCAGAGTTGGGTGTATGGCCCATTGGATTCTCCAACAGGTAAGAAAAGGATTGAAAATACCTTCAAATATATCTGCATTAGTTTGGAGGAATTATTTTTTTTTTCCAATAAGTTTCTCTTTCCTTAGTTGTTAAACAGGAGACCACAGGCAGGGAGATGCTTCTCCACTGGGAGGATGGAGGACCTGTCAGCATCTCCACAGGACTTGCTAAAGATATCCTACAGGCACCATGTGATGTGTTTAGAGGAGAAATCTCACTTCAATAGGCAATTTCCAGCCTAGTTTCAGAAAGTGATTTTGGTAATTGATCACCAAACTGGTGCCAAAGGACATCACAGACGGCAGCGTGCCCGGTGTGGACAGCCTCACCTTGCCTCTGCCATCGAGCTCAAGCACCAACAGCCTCTGCAAACCAGCTGGGCAGAGCATTTGATACCCCAGCAGCGCCTCTTCTGCACATCAAAGTCCAAAGACATATGCAGCGAAAGAAGAATTAACCCTGACAAGAATCAAGAAACGAGCGGTAAATAAAGACCAAGCGATTGCCCTGCCAGGCGACTTCTGTGTGGCACAGGTTTATAGTTAGCAATGCAGTTTGTTTTATTAGTTATAAATAAAGTACAAAAAATCCACCAAAAGTGAATCTAAGCATTTACACAATTTCTAATGTCTTTTCATTTCTTCAATGCACTATTGCTTTAATATTAATAATAAATATTTTTCTAGCTTTCTTCTATAAAATAGTCTATGTAGCAAAATG